GGCGCGCTTCCAGGCACAGCCCGGCACCCCGGCCCGGAGCCCGGAGGACACCCCGCTGTCCCTCGGCCCGGCCCCGCGAGGCCGCCGCCCTGGGCTTCCCCGCACGGGGCCCCGGGGACGCCGTCTCTTGGTTCCATGACGGCACCTCTGGGCGGAATAGAGCCCGCCTTACGCTGGGGATCCCGGGCTGGGAAACCGGCTCAAGGATGGCCCGGGAATTCCGGGCGGAGGAAGCTGAAATATACATGCATTGGGGTGAAGATTCTCCTGCGCCCCCTCCCCTCCCAGTAAACCCCGGTGCCTCCGAGAAAGCGCCTGTCTTTGCCTGGGGGTCGGGACGGCGGGCGGTGAGAGGGTGACAGCGGCTGCAGGGTGGCTGCCCTAGCGGCAGGCAACCTGTTGGGGACTCCCCACTTTCCGAGAGGGACAGAGGTTCCCTGCGGCGCCCCCCATCGTCTCTGCCACCTCCCCACCGAATCGAGGCCTATTCATAGCCATCACCTATCACGTAAAACTGTGGTTCTCGTTTTCCAACTAAATGATGGGTTCTTGCAGGTAAGGGATGCACTTGTCGCTGTGCTGTAGCCTGCCACGTGGGCGAAGCCTAGCATCGTGTATGCAAAAGCATCCGGGTATAAACGGGTTAACGACCGAGTGTTTGAGTGCTTCGCACCACCTCTGGTTTGGGGCCGTTTTCGCCCCGTTCACGGCCCTCAAGAATGCAATCATGAGACAATGAGAGGGCAGCCTGGAACATCTATAATCAGCCCTGTAAGGGTGAGGTAAGGGCTCCGGAGTGCGGCGTCTGTCTGTGGCCTGCCGAGGGCTTAACCGACCTGCCAGCCCTCGCCGGCCACGCCCCGGCCGGCTCCAGTGGGCCCTACCCTGGAAAAGGGTACCTGGGGAGCCCCGCCAGCTTGCCTCGGCATGTCAGCGTGGAGCGGCTGGAGTCGGGGGGCTCTGAGACGAGAAACGGGGCCCAGCACAGAGGGGGTCTCTGGCGTGTGTCCCTTCGCTCAAACCCAGCTTCACGTGGGGAACCCCTGCCCCTCAGCCGTGTCCGGCTGTTCCCTGTGAGGTCATCGGCAACAGGACCTCGCTCAGAGCCATTCCAAAATCAACCTTGGGGTCTCTGGGTGGCATGACGGGGGGCCGGGGGTGGAAATCCATGCTGAGGTCGTCAAGAGGTCTTTGGGAACTCAATACCACCAACCGGGGCAGAGCCGGGCCACCAGGGCCCGGGATCTAGGCCGTCAAACCCAAACCCCAAACAAGAGGCACCCCACCCGCACCCCCGCCCCTTCTGCATTCTGGAACGTGTAGTCCCCGAGCGGCCTTGTTCAAAGGTCTGTGAGCCCAGAAAAAGAATAACAAGAGCGGGGCACACTGGGAACTGCGGCTTCGCCGCGGGGCGCCCGGAAAGCGGACACGCGATGCTTCCTGGGAATTGAAGTCCAGGGTTTGCCTCTGCGGTCGAGTCCCGGGAATCGAGGGCTGCAGAGAGCCTGAGCGCAGCTTGCTGGGGCTTGTAGTCTTCTTGTCCGCAGCCCCAGGCATTACTGAGGGGACCCGGCCTTCCTAGGACTACAAGTCCCAGAAGCCCATGCGCAGGCAGGAGGGCGGGGCGGGGCTGCAGGCTGGGGTGCCGCCTCCTCTGCAACGCCGGGCCGGAATCTTAGAACCCACGGCCCGCAGGGGTCCCCGCGGCCGCCGCGATGCAGAAATACGAGAAACTGGAGAAGATTGGGGAAGGTAATGGAACCACGAGATGTCCCTACAAGATCTTCTTCTGCAGCCCTGGCTCCCCTACCGTCAGCAATACCTACAGGCTTTGACCTCAGCACTGGCTGCATCCCTGGCCCCCCGACCTCAACACTCCGTGCAGACATCAGTACTCCCCCTGTTAGCATTTCCCACAGACTCCCACTCCCAACCTTTGCTCTCCCTGGAGACCCGACCTCTCAATCGCTGCACTTCCTGCATTCCCCACCCCTAGCCTCAGCATCACTTGCACAACCTCAGCCCGACTCCCAGCCTGTTTTCCATGCACAGACTTCCCACCTCAACATTTCTGCAGGCCTTGATTCCTCTCCCAAACCCCTTCCCACTATGTCCAGGCCCTGCCAGAGAACCGTTTATTAGGGACATGCTTACCCTGCAGCTACAGACACTCTTCTGCCGGGACCCTTGAGCCTCTGCCTGCACCTTTTCGCCCCTCCCCTCCCACCACATTCTTACTCGCAAAGCTCTTCTACACCCGGCCTTCATCCTGAATCCTTCCCTTGCACACGCAGATGCTGCCCCCACTCTCGGGGGGGATTTCCTGGGGTGGGGAAGGATACCTCATCCTCTCCCTCACCCCTGACCTCCTTCCCCTAGGCACCTATGGAACAGTGTTCAAGGCCAAAAACCGGGAGACTCATGAGATCGTGGCTCTGAAACGGGTGAGGCTGGATGACGATGATGAGGTAGGAGTGGGGCACTGGAGCCCGGGAGGGGCTTGGGCCTGGGCTGGGAGGGAGCTGACTGTTGCCCACTGGGCTGGGCTCCCTCACATGTGCAGGGTGTGCCGAGCTCGGCCCTCCGGGAAATCTGCCTACTCAAGGAGCTGAAGCACAAGAACATTGTCAGGTGAGGGACGGGCAGGACCCTCCACGTCGGGCTGGGCTGACAGTGGGATATTAGGTGCAAACTTGCAGACCTTCCTGGCTAAGCCCGTCCTTCTCCCTAGGCTTCATGATGTCTTGCATAGCGACAAGAAGCTGACTTTGGTTTTTGAATTTTGTGACCAGGTGAGGGGGGGATGGTGGGGTAGTAGCCTTGGGAGGGTAGAGGGACCCAAATGGAAGTTAAACTCTGTCCTGTTCTTCCACTGCCCCCCCCCCCCAGGACCTGAAGAAGTATTTTGACAGCTGCAACGGTGACCTCGATCCCGAGATTGTGAAGGTGAGGGAGTGGCGTCCCGGGGACCCATCCAGGCTGGGGTTGGGGTCTCCATTCGGTGTAAGCACTTCTTGAACACCAAGTTTCAGCCCTGAACAGGGACACTCTAGGGTGTCAGAGAAATGAGAAAACCCTGTTTCTGTCCCCCAGGGGCCTCCAATGTTAGCAAGCATTTTCACATGGTCTCCTTTGACCTGTAAAGTAACACTTTGATGTCAATGATGTTATTTACACTTGAGAGATGAGAAAATGAAGCTCAAAGAGATATGTTCTTTCTTCCAACAAAAACTTATTGAAAGCTTCGCTGTGTGCCAGGCACTGTTCTAGGCCCAAGACCAAGGGCACCTGGTCCTGAATAATACTGTCACACAGCATCTGTGTTGATGGTTATGGTGCGTGTACTCACATGCATAGTAGAGGAGATCGGCATGGCCTGGGGAGGCAGGAAGGCCCACTAGACTGTAAGGTCCAGAAAGGTGGGGACCAGGGCCACCTTGTTCACTGTGTACCTCTGATACCCAGCGCCATACAAAGTGAGTGAATGGTGTCGTGCTGATCTTGGTGAGGAAGGCGGGGGGAGCAAAGCAGAGGGTGTGTGAGGGGTATGACCACTGCTGGGCACAGCTCATATCTAGGGTGTCTGACGTCCTCCTTCCTGCCCCTCCCCCAGTCATTCCTCTTTCAGCTGCTAAAAGGCCTGGGATTCTGTCACAGCCGCAACGTGCTGCACAGGGACCTGAAGCCCCAGAACCTGCTAATAAACAGGGTACTTCCCAGGGGAGACTGGGCAAGCAGGAGTGGGGGTGGGGGGCGCTGAGGGAAGCAGGATTGGGAGAAGGGAGCCTGGAGCCTGCCTGGAGCATCTAAAGGCCCTTCTCCATGTCCTCTCCTCAGAATGGGGAGCTGAAATTGGCTGATTTTGGCTTGGCTCGAGCCTTTGGGATCCCCGTTCGCTGTTACTCAGCTGAGGTGAGCTGGGGGGTGGCATAGGGGGTTGAGGGAGGGAGTCCCCAGTGGGCATCTCTCAGCTCCCACTCCAGGACTCCAAACATGATTGTGCTCTCCTCTCTGATCCTCCTCCTCCAACCTCCTCCTGAGCCCTCTGAATGGAGGGTCCCTGTGGGTGGGTCTTCTCCAGGTGGTCACGCTGTGGTATCGCCCACCGGATGTCCTCTTTGGGGCCAAGCTGTACTCCACGTCCATCGACATGTGGTCAGCTGGCTGCATCTTTGCAGGTGACACACTGGGGCTCTGCAGAGGCACTTTCCTATTTGGGTTGACAAATAGGGTCTGGAGGGTCCCCTCTGGGGGAAGGGTGTGGAGCCCTTGGGGCTGGGGATGGAAGGCGCCAGGGGTCCCTCAGAGTGAGGGGTCCTTCATGTGTCATGTCACAGCTCCCTCTCTTTTTCCCAGAGCTGGCCAATGCTGGGCGGCCTCTTTTTCCTGGCAACGATGTAGACGACCAGTTGAAGAGGATCTTCCGATACCCTTCCTTTTCCCTTTACCTTCGCCTGTGGCAGGGAGCGAGCCCGTGCAGCTTAGAGCGCAGGCGAGAGGGTGGCGATGGCCTGGGATGCTGGGGTCTGCAGGGCTTCCTCTGCAGGGGAACACATGGAGGGCAGAGGGCGGGGACAACCCTGATTGTCACAGTGCGGATACACCTGTGCAGAGGGTGTGGCTTGTAGACAAGGAGGTCCCCCTGGGGGAGGCCACAAGGACGCTTCTCAAGGTGAGAGGTGAATCCTTAGGATGAAGGAGCCAAAGGAGCCGGGGGGTTGTAGGAGCAGGGGAAGGCTGACTGCTCCTTGGGACTGCAGACATGAGGACTGGGGCTGATGTTAGTGTTTGGAAGGAGCCTGGCACACGGCGAACGCTGTGCATGCAGGTGGGAATGAACGCGCCAGCCAAGCTCTAGGGCCTGCTTCTGGCAGGAGGTGAGGACGGGGTGAGAGGAGGCCGAGTGGGCGTGAGCAGTCCCACCCCAGAAGGGGAAGAGCCCTTTCCATGAGTGATCCTTGACCCCGTGGACACGCTGCTGGGGACGCCGACTGAGGAGCAGTGGCCTGCCATGACCAAACTGCCAGACTATAAGGTATGATAGGGAATGGGAAGGCATGGTTCATCAGCGGTCCCTTTTATATATATATATATATATATATATATATATATATGTATGTATGTATATGTATGTATATATATATATTTTATTAATTTATTTTACATTCCGTGATGTTGTTGCAGAGCAGTTGGGAGGGAGGGGGAGAGGGAAAGGGGAAGGACATGGGATGGAAGGAGGAGGAAGGAGGGGGGTGGGATTGAGGCCTGTGGCACCCCCCTCATTCCCACAGGGGAGACTGGGGGCTTCCAACGGTGGCTTGGTCGTTGCCAGGCTGGGTGCAGATGTCAGGGGGGTGTGGCAAAAGTCCTTACCTCCCACCTCCCCAGCTTAGGAACCTGGGACTCTTCTTGCTGCAGCTCAGTGGGGCTCAGTGGTCATCACTGGGCTGGCTGCGGGTGTGGGGGTGTGGCCGAGGCGCTCAGCCCCCCACCTCCCCCGCTTGGGAGGGCCCGGGCCGCTTCCAGCGGTGGCTCGGTGGTCGCTGCTGGTCAATGGTTCCATGGCTCTAGCAGCCTCTACACCCCCATGCTCCAGAATGACTCTCCGTGCCCCTCCACAGCCCTACCCAATGTACCCAGCCACAACATCACTGGTGAATGTCGTGCCCAAGCTCAATGCCACAGGGAGGGACCTGCTGCAGGTAGGTGACCTGGGGTAGAGGGAGGCGTTCAAACACTTGTCCAGAGGCACTAGTGGAGTGTGGGGCTCTGGGCAGCTGAGCTGGCCTGAACCTGCCACCGGCTTTCCTTCTGTCTCCAGAACCTTCTGAAGTGTAACCCTGTCCAGCGCATCTCAGCAGAAGAGGCCCTGCAGCACCCCTACTTCTCCGACTTCTGTCCCCCCTAGGCTGCAGGACCCCTGGCCGCCAGGCTGGGGCCTGGCCTGTTTAAGCCCCCTCCCAGGAGGGGAGGCAGTTGGGGTGCATGGAGTGCCGCGCCCTGGCTGTGCTGGGCCGGCCGGGGTGGAGGTGCTGAACCGTGCTGTTCACTCCCTCCGTGGACTTTATTTAATTCCATAAATTGGCTCCTTTCCCACAGTCCGGCTGATGTGGTAGAATGGCTCTGGAGGGGGCAGGGGCCTCTGCTCCCCTTTGTCACCCTCTGCACCCCTTCCTCCAGCTAAACAACGCGGCCGGGACCCTCCCCCTGCACCTGATGGCTGGGGTCAGGGTGGCGCTGTCCCCACACATGGTGCTTACACACTCGTGCACACCCTTCCTCCTCCTGCCCAGGCAGGCCTGACACAGTGCGAGGGGGCGTGTGGCCAGGTGTGAGAGCAAGGGTGGGCTTCCACCGGCATGGGGGGGAGGGCTAGGCCCTCGTGGTTCTTCATACCCCATGTGCACCTCCTGTCCCTTCCTTCTTTATCCCCCCATCTCCAGGCGTGCAGACTGGGACAGGAGAGACCCAAAGATGTGGTTCCTTCAGGAGCGCCCCTCCCCCACCCCCTTATTGTCAGTGTTCCAATGTTTGGGGTGCGGTGAAAGGGAACTGAGGGGGAGAGAGGGGTCCCCCACCTGCACTGCCTCAAGCTGGGGCCTTTGGCTCTTGTGGGGAGGTTGGGGAAGCAAGAACTGTTCCCGTGGAGATGGGTCATGTGCCACACAAACGTGAGAAAAGGAGTCACGATCTTCGAAGGCAGCACAACAGCTTGTGTTCCTGGAAGTGGAACCGCCCCTCTGTCCCCTCCCTGCCTCCTGCTCACTGTTTGCTGGGCTCTGGGTCAGAACCTTCTCCCAGCTATACCCGACAGCACAGTTGGTCCCCGCTGACTGTGACTACCTCTGTGCGTCACACCCGAGCCATGGGCTTGGGGGATCCCTGTCCTCCCTGCTCTTTGAGATGTCAGCCTGATAAACTTCTCAAACTGGATGCAAATGACTGATGTCCTCTTACTACCATTCTCTGCCAGAGCTTTATGTGAGTTAAACGGGGCCCAGCTCCACATTTCTTTCTTTTTTTGTTTTTTAAAGATGACCCGTAAGGGGATCTTAACCCTTGACTTGGTGTTGTCAGCACCACGCTCTCCCAAGTGAGCAAACCGGCCATCCGTATATGGGATCCGAACCCGTGACCTTGCTGTTACCAGCACCACACTCTCCCAAGTGAGCCGTGGGCTGGCCCCCTGCTCCACATTTCAAAGGCCATATCCAGCTGATGATGGCTGCCAGGAGACTTCCTGTGCTTCAGGAAGGCTGCCCTTGGCCTGGCTAGTCTCTGCCTTGCAAGAGGAACACCCAAGGCTGATCCATTAGAACTTTATTTGGGGTGAAGATGGCAAGGCATGTGCAGGCTGGGCATGTCCAGGAAGTCAAGGTGTGGCCCCGAGGTCACAGACAGCAGGTCTAGAGCCGCGTGACCAGGTAGCAGGTGCGGTGGGAGGCAGAGAGAGTCTTGGTGACGGCACAGGGAGGGGTTGGAGGCCTGGGGACAGAGCCCAGGGCTGGGGCAGGAGGCCTCCCTAGTCGCTGCCCTGCCCCTGCCCTCCTGGACCTGAACTGCACCCTCTGGGGGCCATTTCGTGTTACCTGGGGCTAAGGCTGAAGTGGGGAACTTGGGTTCGATGGCTGCCCAGCCCTTCCTGAAGCTGTGGGAGGAGGGAGAGGGTGAGAGGTGGGGAGGGGTCCTCCCTCCCAGGGACCAGCCAAGGCCACTGCACACCGCTATCCGCCACTGTGTCTCTTCTCAGGTGAGTGGGGATGATGTTCTAGGCTTCAGGGGATGGACCTAGCACCCCAGTGGAAGGGACGGGGAGGAAGAGGGGGCTGTTACCAGATTGGTGCTGGAATGCCTTTGGGAGCGCTTTCGGTTCCAGAAATACCCCAGGACCCTGTCTCGGAATACCTGGGGACAAGCAGTAGGGGAGGTGGCCAGTGCACACCTTTCACCTGGATCCAAGTGACCGGTTCCCCCTTCCCCTCCCTCAGCGGGTGCCCTGGCCCACCTCACAGAGGTAGTCTAGGATCTCCAGGATTGTCAGCAGGCTGGCCCCGATGAACAAGCCCATCTGGCCCCCAATGTCACCTGTGGAGACAGGGTCACCCTTCAGCTCAAAGCCACCTGCCCTGCTTACACGTCCCCCGACACCAGGGTGCTCTGCACACACCCAGCAGCTCCGACACTTCATAGGCCTTCTTCTGCTCCACTGTCTCGTAGTTGAGGGCCTCAAAGAAGATATCCAGGACCAGCACATTCTCCCTGGAGAAAAACAAAGGCCTCGAATGTTCGCTGGACACCCCTGGTGCCAGGTGCTGGCAAGAAACAGGTCTGTGTTCTCAGATGCCTTTCCAGAACACTGGGAGGGGGCGTCACCATCCTGGGGACACACGAGTGAAGCATCTTGCCCAGAGTCCCAGAGCCTGTGACGTGGACGCTGGTGTCCCACCCAGGCTCGGCCAGGGCCCGCCAGGAGCCCCCCTGCGGCTCACGCTATCTCGGCCTCGCTGCGGTTGAATTTCCGGGCCAGGTAGCGGGCGGCGGCGCGGCTGGGGATCCGCACCATGGAGAGCTCCTTGGCATAGCGCGTGACGGCGCAGGGCCTGGGGCAGGAGCATGCGTCCCTCCGCAGCATCGCGTCTGCGGGCACAGGGGCCGGTCAGGGCCACGCCCGCCCGCCCGGCGGGGAGGCGGGGAGGCGGGGGAGGCTCGGCCCTTACCCAGGGCTGGGTGGGCACAGTCCTTGTACTGCTGGGGACTGCACACTGGCGCGCTGCCTGGGGGGTTGCGGGGAGGAGACGGCGTCAGGACCGGCGGGCGCTCCCCGGGCGCCCCCCGAGGGATTCGGACGCCTCCCCACCAGCCCCTTACCAGGCATGTGTATCATTCGACAGCCGCACTTCCGAGCCACGTAGCGGGTTTCGCAAACCAGACGACACCCCACTAGGCTATAGGGAGACCTGGGGTTGGGGCTGGGGCCGGGTGCACCCAGGGGATCAGAAGGCTCCAGCTCAAAGTCAGGGTCCAGAGATACTGAACTGCAGTCGCCCCAGGGCGGTGGCAGGAAGCTCAGCTGTGCAGGGTTAAGGAGGCTCTGGAGAATGTGGGAGGTGACTGGAGTGGGGACCCTGGGATAGGTCTGAGGAGCTGAGGGTAGGGTCTGAGGTGGGGGGGCTGGAAGAGGGCTTGGGAGCCTTGGGGGGAGGGCTTGGGGTCATGGCAGAGGATACTTGCTGCTGCTGGCAGGACACAAAAGTCTGGTAGCCGGGGGCCACCCCCAAGCCCAGCTGGTCGATGAGGGGCGGCTCCTCCTGGCTGTGGATCTGCACACGGATCCCCACCTCAAACGGAGTCTCCTCTGTGGGGAGGGGCCCTTGAGGCCTGAGACCCCACCATCAGGTCTCCTGCCCCAACCAGGTCAGACCTGCTGCAGTCCCCTCTCCCCGAGATTTGGATGAGCCAACCCTGCCCCTTCTCACAGGAAAGGGCATGCTTTGGGGACCCCTCCCGGCCCTTCCCCTAGCCTTTTCCCTAGCCTTTTGCAACCCAACATGCCCCAGCCTCCCAGGGGTGCCTCTTACCCACGTCCCGCCACACGGGCAGATACTCCTCCTGCTGCACGTCCAGCATGATCTCCAGCCCATTGCCGGCACCGCCCTTGGTGGTGGTGAGCAGCTCGGCCCCGCCGGCGCCGGAGTTAAACGTGTAGCACCGCCCCATCCGGGTGAAGACCTGGGTGGGCAGACAGGATGGCAGCCCTCTCCCCTAGGCAAGCACGCGGCCAATGGCACCTCTCCTCCTTGCTCTGCGTGGTCTCCTCTTTGAACCCTGAAGCCCACATCTCAATGCCCCTCAGCCCCATGCTCCATGTGGGCACGTGTGGTGGGACCCTCTTTGGGTCCCATTACTCCAACTCCTCTACCCCCCCGCCCCCCTGCTGCACACACACCCCAAGGCCCAGGGCACAGCCTACAGGACAAGTGTTTCTTTGGGGACTGGGTAAAAGGAAGTGGGCTGCACAGTTGCCCTCCTCTGGGGCTGGCAGAACACTGAGGAGGCAGAAGGGTGGAGAGAGGGGTCTACTGCCCCAGAACAGTCCACTTGGAGAGTCTCCCCCCCTTCCCTCCAGGAACAGGGTCTCCACAGGCCAGACCTTAGGCCCAGAGCCAGCCTGGGTTGGTGCCCGTGCTGGGAGGCACGGCCTTGCACACTGCGTTCAGCTGGGAGACAGGGAGGGGCCCGGGAGGACCACTTCTTGGGCTGAACAGAAGGACACTGCAGGGTGGGGAGCCCGGGCAGACGGTGTTAGGTGCCCTGACTTTGGGGAGCCTGGGCTGACAAGGCCGGGATTGTGGGTCCCTGGGCTAGTAGGGCGGCCAGCTCACCTCGGTGAAGTTCTCAGGCCCACACGGCTGGCCGCGGTAGCGGCAGTCTAGCAGCATGCCATCCAGGGAGTGCCCGGCGCGGGCATAGAGTTGTGCCATGTCGAAGGTGGCACTGGGCATGAAGCCGGGCGGCGCGGGCGGCTGGCCCAGGGCGTGCAGGAAGGCGGCGTGCTCGGTGGGGTCGAGGCCCAGCAGCGTGGGCCCAGCCCAGTGCAGGTCGTTGGGCGTGAGGCGTGAGCGCCGCAGCGGGTTGATGTTACACAGGGTGACGGCCGGGAAGGTGAGCCGGTGGCTCTCGCGCTCATCCAGGGCTGTCTGGTGGTGGAACTCCCTGTAGTAGTGCACCCTCTCAACCACCTGGTAGAGGAAGGTGGCCAGCGACAGGAGCACGGCCGTGGCCCACAGAACCCGGCGCAGGGTCAGGCCACCTGGGCCGAAGACGTGGCCCAGCCCGTGCAGCGTACAGTTGCTGGCGAACACGCGGATGTCTGAGGTTGGCTGCCGGGCCTCCTCCGGCCCTGAGGGGGGCTTCATGGCTGGAGTCAGGGGCCAGGGGCTGGTGACCAGCTCCAGGGGCTTGGCGGAAGAGAGGGAGGGTGGGAGGGCTGGGAGGGCTTGAGAGAGAGGTGGGCCAGCAGGGGCCACCGCAGGGGAGGACAGGGGAGGAGAGGGTGGGAGAGGAGCCAGTTCCAAGAGGTGATTAGGAGGGCACTGGCCTGGCAGGATTGGATGAGTTGACCTGGCTGGTCCAGCTTGGCCTTCCCAGGAACAGGCGGTGGCTCTGCTGGGCTTGGCGCTGGCTGGGGGCTCCGCGGCAGAGACCAGGTAGGGTACAGCTAACGGTGGCAGGCAGGGGCTGTGGAGCGGTCCCGAGGCAGTGCTGAGCTGGAGCTGCCGCAGAGGATTGGGTTTCAGTAGTGAGGGGGGCAAGGGGGCCGGCAGAGCAGTCTGGGGGGCGGGGGAGGTCCCTGGGGCCCCAGGCTGAGCCATTAGTGCAGCGTGGGGGGGCCGTGGCTGTCAGAGGCCAGAGGCGCCAGCAAGAAACCGCAGTGATCCTGGGTAGGGATTGAGGGCAGCCTAGAGATAAGTTGGGGCTGGGGGCATCTTTGGCCCTCAAGGTTCCCAGTTGCAGCCCCTATGTGTGGGGCATGAGGGACAGTCACTGCCCCTTGGCCTAGCGCCTCTCTCCTTTCGCCTCTCCTGCCTCCCCACTAACCTCACCCAGGATAATTGGTTCTTTCACAAAGAGTGGAGTTGGCTCTTGACCAGGCTGGAGAGTAGTGGGAAGCTTGGCATCAGCAGATCTCTTCTGTCTCTGCCCTCAGTGTCCTGGCCTACACTGGATGGCCTGGGGCCTCTTCAGTTCCCATGTCTGGGGCCGTCTTGAGTGTCCTTCCCTCCCTAAGGAGCCAGATTCAGTCTCCCACACTCAGGCTTCCTGTTGGGGAGGCTGGCCTCTACCACAGTGACTGTGGGCCCACCTGCCACCTCCCAGGTATCAGGTGCCCCACCTGCCCAGGTACAACACGGGAGTCCCACATGCCCACCCCTCCTTGGTACGACATGGGTATCTTAAGATTTTACATCTTACTCTTTTCACTGAACACATTCTGGAGATGATTATTCAGTACCTGGACAACTTCCTCGGAGGAAGTTTTCTTTTTTTTCCTTTTTGTCTTTTTTTTCGTGACCGGCAACGGATCGCAACCCTCAGTGTCACGCCCGTACCGGACTGGCAACGGGATCGCAACCCTCGGTGCTGCGCCCGCACCTCGCTCAGCCAGTGAGCAGCCGGTCTGTATGTGGGATCCGAACCCTCGGCGGGAGCGCCACCTCGCTCCCAAACGGCGCACTGTAGCAGTGCGCCACCGGGCCGGCCCCCTTCCTCAGTGTTTTCTATGGTTGCATACCATTCCATTATTTGGATTTACTATATTTAGTCACTCCCCCTATTGGTGAATGTTGGGGATTTCCAGTCTATTACAACGTTGCTATTGGAAACCATTACATAGATGTAAGCACCTAGAAATAGGACTGCTGGGTCAAGAGGCCCCTGTGTTGGTAATTTGACAGGAGACACCAAACTCCCCCATAAGAGTTCTGCCATTTTGCACTCCCACCAATAATGTGGTAGTGGGCCTCTTTTGCACGGGGGCTTTCTAAAGGAAGTGACACTGCCCTTGAACCAGCCCTGGGCCACCATGCTACTGCCATGTGAGAAATCTGGCCTCAAACGGGCAGAGCCAGCACATTATTTGACTGAAGACGTTTTTGATGACCCAGAGATGATGGGTGGGGGCGGAGGGGAGGATTCCCACCAGCAGGAAAACAGACCTCCAGAAAGCGAGTTGCTGTCTAAAGGTCAGTGCCAGGTGGACTGAAAAGGGAGTAGGGCATCTTGCTAGCCCACAGCACTGGGGACAAGGGGCCAGCAGAGCTGAAGGGCTGCCGCCCAGCTCAGGGCTGCAGGGGACAGCCCAGAACACCTGCTTGGAGGACAGCTGGGGCCTGGTCCTCATCAGTGTCAAGCTCTGTGTGTGGCTAAATGCTCATGTGCCCTGCCCCTGTGTATCTGGGAACTGGGTGACACTCCCCTCTTCCCTGCAGGTCTGAGAGAAAGCAGGCTTATCTCCATTAATTTATTTACTGAAGTTTATTTCTATTCCATCTCCATCCAAAAAGCATTTGAGGCTGCCAGGCTCATTTTGGTGGCTTTTGGCCATTAGTGGTATAAACAGTTCCACCAACCAAACACAATCACACTGTGCTGCACCTGCCTGCCCACCTGCCTGTCTTCCTGACAAGGCCACAAGCTTCGTGGGGACAGGGGCCATCCTCCCTCCCCAGTGTAGTATCAGTGACCCATGATAGGTGCTTAATAAATATATACTTTGGAAGGATTGAGTGAATAACACGGTATGACATGTCACAGATGTGACAACTTTCCAAGGCTACGGCATTATGATTTTTAAGTACTTTACCATAGATTATCCCATCTAAACTTTTTTTTTTTTTTTTTTAAAGATGACTGGTAAGGGGATCTTAACCCTTGACTTAGTGTTGTCAGCACCATGCTCTCCCAAGTGAGCCATGGGCCGGCCCTATCCCATTAAAACAGACTTTCAAGAGTAAGCACAGCCAGTCTTCTGTCTCTGCTGAGTAGCTGGCGGAGCCCAGGCTGAGGAACGTTGCTCAGGGAGAAGCAGGCGGAGTGGCTCCTCGAGCTGTATTGGCGGTGGGTTCTACTACTTCCCTCGTAGCTGGGAGGGGTGGAAGAAGGCTGAATTCGGAGAAGCCACCCTGGAGATGTAAGGAGAGACCTAGAATCTGGTGTCAGTAGGCATCTAGGGATCCTGGTAGCTGGGCGGGTGAAGCAGAAGCTGCCTTGGCTGGCTGCCCCACAAGGGAGGGGTCAGGCAGACAAGCAGGGTCTCTGGCCCCACAGAAGGCGGAGGCCCTGCTCTGGGCTGCACTAGGGTGGGGGGAGGAGTTAGCGGGAAGTACCCGGGAGCCAGCCCAGGCTCTGCTCCTGCTGCCCTGAGATGCAGCCTCTGATCAGCCAGTAAGCAGGATATCAAACCAGGGTGCTGTGGCTCTGGGATTTTTGGGTGGTTTGTCCCCAAAGTACATCTGGTCGTCACCCATCCTCTCAAGAGGCTGTGAATCCCACCTGGCTCCTGCACTCAACCTGAGCTGCTGCTGCCTCTTCCAGGCTGGCCTCCCAGCAGCAGTGTCCACCCCATCTGCACACTGCTGCCACCACCCCCAGAAAGACGGCACTGCCTTTCTTTGTCACAGAATGAATCCAAAATGCTGGGCTGGCTGTGAAGGTGCAGCATGGGCAACCCCTCTTCCCCTCCCTGGAGAGCAGAGCTCTGTGGAGTCCCACAGACTGGACATGACTGGATGGGGGAAGGTGCCCAGTGGAAAGTGGCATGGACATCGCCAAGGCTAGAGGCAACTGGCCCTAGGAGCAGGTGAGGAGGGCTGGTGCATCTGCAGCCACACAGGCACACGAGGTCCTGACGGCTCCTCAGTCCTGACGGCTCCTCAGTCCTGACGAGTGTTTAGTCCAAGGGCCTTTCTCATGTACCTTTCCAGGCCCCTCAGAAGCCACCTGGAGCCCAGCTCTGCCTCCTTCACAGCTTTGGGACCACAGGCTCATGCTACTCGGGCGGCTCCTCAGTCCTGACGAGTGTTTAGTCCAAGGGCCTTTCTCATGTACCTTTCCAGGCCCCTCAGAAGTCACCTGGAGCCCAGCTCTGCCTCCTTCACAGCTTTGGGACCACAGGCTCATGCTACTCGGGCTGTCTCCCCAGCCTCTTTCAAGGTAGGCTCCAGTCCCACCTTGTCCACATGCATCTTGGACCACTCTAGGGAGGCTGGTCTGGCAGCACTGCTCCTCCGATTGATTTTGCATTAACTGCTCCCTGTTGGTTTTGTTTTTGTTAGCACTACAGTCCTGCAGCTGAGAGTTCTGGCTCCCTCCTCTGTGCATTCATATCTGGGTGCTCTCAGTGTGGTGGGGAGGTTGGCCCACAGTCTCCCTGGGTGAAAGCTTGGGAGCGCAAGGCAGGGCGAGTGGCAGACAGCCAGGCAGGCTGTGTCCTTCTTGAGGGAATGGGCCACTGTGCACCCAGCCCCCCTACCCAGACCCTACACCTGGGCCCTGTTAGGCATCTGGCCCCTTGGAAGAAGTGAGGAGGTGAAATCTAGGGATCAGGACTGTTAATGGGGCAGGGAGAACGGAGGAAGGTTGTTTAGAAGATGGGACTGTGGGCTTGAGGGTGGGCCGAGGGCTGGGTTCCTTCTCCCAGGATTCAGAGAAGCAGGGAGACGCAGGAGTGTGCGAGTCAGGCCCCGCCTAGGGAAGTGAGGTCCTAGCAAGGGTGGGGGAAGAGCATTGGTCTGGATTTCCAGGCCCACTTCTAGACCCTGATTTTTTAAAAACTCCCTGGAACTGGGGGCCTGGATAGCATTAGGGTGTAGGAGAGAGGAGTGATCCCAACCTCCCACCAGCCCGGCCCCACGGCCTAGGCTTTACTGTGTCACTGTGAGCAGGGGCCGGGGAGTAGCCCCAGCATCTGAAGCCACAGCACGCTGGCCCTGGGGCTCAGTCTCTGTTGAGCTCCCCCCACTGCTGAGTCCTGGCTCTGACACTGATGTGTGGCAATGACCCACTCTCAGGGCTTGTGCTGGCGGTTCCTGGGGCCTTTCGGCTTCTCCGGAGCTGCAGCCGACATCAGCGGGGCATCCAGGGCCTGCCTCCGGATGAGCTCCGCATAGAGCCCGCCTTTCTGCAGGAGCTCTTCGTGGGTTCCGGCCTGACATGGGAAGAAGGGCAAGTGGTAACTCCCTCCCGGCACAGGATTCGGAGCACCAAGAGGCTGAGCTGCTTTATCAGCCACTGTCCCATCTGAGGACATTCTGAAGCCAAAGCCCAACCTGAAAGGAACTGGCACACAACCTTTGCTTGAACGAATGGCTGGAGCCAACCCCCACAGCCTCTGAGGTTTGCTCCTGACGGGTCCCCGATCAGGTCTCTGGCTCTGCCTCTTCTGCACCACAGCCCTGCCCTGGGCGCCCCACCCCAGCAATCACACTTTCCCCAGTACTTTTCCCTTTGCTCCTGGGAGCCAATGGTATAGCTATAGTGTCCCTGGGGACAGAGGAAGAAATGAGGCCCTGAGAGGCCAGGGCTCGTCTAAAGGAAGCAGTTCCCGAATCTATGTGGGATGCTGCTTCCAGAATATGTCCCCAAGCCAGATCCATACACAACTCAGCTGAACACCAGGTGCACCGGCCATGGCTAAAGCCATCCCTAACCCATGGACTCCCCTGCCCCTGCAGGCCCAGACTAACCTCCCAGACACGACCATTGGCCATGACAACGATGTGGTCGGCCCCACGGACAGTGCTGAGCCGGTGGGCAATGACTAGCACGGTGCGGCCAGCGCTGGCCCGGTCCAGGGCCTCCTGCACAATCCGCTCAGACTCTGCATCCAGTGCGCTGGTGGCCTCGTCCAGGATCAGCACTGTGGGCTGCTTGATGAGGGCCCGGGCGATGGCCAGGCGCTGCTTCTGGCCACCAGACAGGGTTGTGCCCCGCTCACCTGGGGAGGGAGTGGACAGGGCAGGGACGTGAAGCGATCCTCAGCTCTGCACTTGGGGTGGCCTGCAAAGGGGCACCAGGTCCTTCCTGAACTTCCATCTGGTCCCTCCACATACCCCACTGACCCGTCACTGCACGCTCATCCTGTCTTTCCGAGGGTGGGGTGATGCCTGTCAGCTCCCCAGTCTCACATCCCTCGGCAAATGAGTGCATGCACTCACACAAAGTAACAGAAGTCATGCAGGGAGCAGGGCTCATCGCACACTGGAGTTACCCCTTGCCTGCCACAGCAGGGCCTCAGAGCCAGGACAGCCCCTTCTGTGCCCTGTGCCTGCAAGTCCAGCCCCCTTCCTGGCCTTCAGGTTTCTGCAGCGATGGAGAGCATCCGGCACCCAAACGTGGGCTCCCGGAGTGTGAGGACTCCAGGCAAAGTGGGATTCAAAGCCCAGCAAGGACAGCAGAAGTGGCAGTCTGGGAGCCAGAAAGATCCTCAAGGCCACAGCAGGGTCACGGATCAGCAGCGGTAGCAACTCTGAGAAGCCCCAGATGAGCAGGGAGTGTGCTAGGATCTGAGGTACAAGGAAAGAGCCACCCAGGAGAGGGGTGGGAGAGCCCCGGTCACGACAGTGTGCAATGTGAATGGGGTGTAGTGCAGCTGCACTGGCAACGTGGGATAGGAGGAACAAGCCAGAGCCAGCGGGCACAACTCAGGAGCTCAGTTAGACTGAAAAGAGTTGAGAACCCCAGATAGTCCTGCATCCTTAGAAGGCTGGGACGTTCTGCAACAGAGGCGAGACACTGGATGATAAAAACGGCCCCAAAGGTTGAAAAAAGACCTCTGAGATAAACACGTAAAGCTGCAAGCGGCCACATGAACATTCTACAGCGTGATGCTGCACACTCCAGTGTTCCAGAATCACCAGAGTCCTCTTCTGGGAAGTCAGAAGAGAGACCTGCTCAACCAAACCAACCCCTGTGATGAGTGTGGAGACGCCTTTAAAGAACAGAAGAACAGGAATGAAACAGGCGCAGGAGAGAGACAGCAGTTACAGGATATAATCTCCCACTTCTTTTTGGTCTTGGGACATGGCGGGCCCCGGTAGGCTCTGAAGAGATTCCAAACACCACGAATCACTTCTGTCCTGTCACTATGCTCCCTGTCATATTCTCTAACTCCTCCGGAGCCTTCCTGTCTCTGCAGCTGGCCTGGCCTGCTGTGCCTGAACCGCATGGGCCTGGACTTACCTGTCCCCCTTGGCCACGGTTCTGGTCTTCCCTGCCACGATGGCTGTCTTCCTCCCCAGCTATCCCTGCTCCCCTCAGTCCCACTGAACCATCCATGTGGCATCCTGTCCCCCACGCCTCACTATCATGGGCCCTGCAGACCAGAGCAGGACGCCATTGCTGGAACCTACCGACAACGGTGTTGTAGCCCTCGGGGAAGCTGGTGATGAACTCGTGGGCATTGGCTTCCCGCGCAGCTGCGTACACCTCCTCATCAGAAGCTTCCAGCTTTCCAAAACGGATGTTCTCCATGATGGTTGTTCCAAATAGGACTGGCTCCTGGGGGTGGGGGGACCCAGAGGTGGAGACGACAGGAAACATTGTCTTTGCCCCAGAGCCCCAAGGGGCCACTGCGTGCATCAAGGTAGTCTATTTTGGCTGGACCAGACTTGGATCCCTTGGTAGGGTCCCGGGGAGATGTTTAAAGTCAGAAGTTCAAAGTCAGAGGTCAAGCGAGGACACAGAGTGGCCCATCAAAGGGAAAGAGAGGCTGATCTCCCACCAGGGTGCAGAACCTTTGCTGGAGGTGGGAGGGGAAGTAGGCTGGGGAGCGAGGCCAGCTGGCCCAGCGGAGTGATGGGAGGGTGAAGGGCTTTGCGTTTTGGCCTCCAGCTCTTGGGTGGCCATCCCTCGTGGGATGGTGGCATGCCCTCTTTATTCTTTGGCCTCAGAGGGAAGAGTGGGCCCTTCCTGGGTTGGGCCACGGGTCCTCGCTTAGTGGTGGGTGGTGGCGGCCAGCAGTTCCAGCAATAGTGCTGTGGGCTCTCTAGACCTCCTGGAAGCTACAGGATTCGCAGAAAATCCCAGGGGCCCTAACACCCCTACTTGCTTAGACTGCTCTGAATAGGGAGCATGTGAAACAGGCCAGAGGCCTCCTGAGAGCAGTGGGATGCGGAGCTAGGAAGGAAAGAAAAGGCCTAGAAGAGGAGAGCAGGGCCAAGGAGGGAGGAGAGCGGCTGAGTGGAGGACCCCCGGCTACATGGGCCTCTGCCCGCACCTGACTGATGAAGCCGACAACCTGGCCCCGGAGCCACGAGAGAGGGCCAAGGAGGAAGGAGAGCGGCTAAGTGGAGGACCCCCGGCCACATGGGCCTCTGCCCGCACCTGACTGATGAAGCCGACAACCTGGCCCCGGAGCCACGAGAGGTCGAGGGTGCGCAGGTCCCGCCCGTCCAGCATCACCACGCCTGCTGTAGGGTCATAGAAGCGCTCCAGCAGGGAAGCCACGGTGGTTTTTCCTGGGGAGTTAGGAGTGAGGGAGGGAGGTGAGGGTTTCTGGAGACTGTCCTAGGAAAGATGGACCCTTGTGGCAGTGGAGAGAGAGCCCCACCCCCAGCCCAGGGAGGGGTGGGGCAGACGCCAAGGGCAGGGCTCACTGCTCGAAGACCTGCTCTGAGCGGCTGCCAGGGGGTGGGGAGAGGGTGGTGGGCTCCCCTTACCTCCCCCAGACTGGCCCACGAGGGCCACGATCTTGCCAGGGGGCAGCGTCAGAGTGAAATCTTTGAGCACTTCAAAGCCAGGGCGGCAGGGGTAGCTGGGAGGAGCCAAGAGAGCCCCAGTCAGACCAGGCCCCAGGCCCCCTGCCGCCCTGTTCTCTCCTGAAGTCTCACCACGGCCCTTGATGGGGCTGGCACTAAGCCAGACCTCCCCACCACTACCCCTGCAGTCCTCGGCCTAGAAAGGCCTGTCCTGCGCCTGACCACCAACACTGACCTGAAGCAGACGTCTTGGAATGTGATGGAGCCGCGGAGGTGCTCCCTGGGGATGTAGCAGCCCCCAGACAATGGGATACAGGGGCTCAGGGCCATGTACTCAAAGACACGGGTGCCCGCACTGAGTCCCCGCACTACCTGCAGGAGGGCATTCAGAGTCTGCAGTGAGGTGGCAGCGAGGCTCACCTTCTGAGCTCCACGTGGCAGGCTGTGGTCCCAGGCTCAATGCTCCTGCTTTCCCCAACAGCCAGTCACCAGGCAGAGCCCACAGCAGCACACAGGTGATGCTGGCAACTGACCGGACTCCAGCCTAGACCTGACTGTCCACAGCTTGGCCCCCAGCCCCCAGCTGCTCACCTGACCAAACAGGATGGAGAGGTTGGCCATGGACCTGCAAGGAGGAGGACATGGCAGATGAGGCCAGGGAATAGGTGGCCTGAAGCCAACCACAGAGAACGCTCCTGAAATAGGGACTGCAGGAGCCCTGGGGTCTGGCCACACTAGAATGCTGAGCCTTGGGCCCCTCCTTGGCCAGATGAAGACAATAGCTATTTGTCAATCCACCACAGGATCTGGAGAGGTGGGGGACTGTGGAAGTGGCTGTGGACTGAAGGTGCAGGCCTCAGTGGGGTGGCCTGCAGGGGCAGCCAGCTCACAGCACGCAGGGATGACAGCAGCTGACCCCATGTACACAGAAGTCAAGGTTGTGTGGCCCACCGTGGGAGATCAGGTCTAATGCTACTGACTCCTGGGGAAGTAATGACTTACATTCAAATTAAGGTGGAAAAATGATGTTAAATCGTTTCAGAGAAAGAAGAAAACAGAAGATACTGGGCCACAAGGGAGAACTCTCGGGAGACACCAAAACAAATCCGAGAAGATTTTTATCGTGGGCTTGTCCTGTAGGTGCACATGTGTGGACAGTCATGGCAGGGCTGGGGGAGGATGGGTCGGTCCCGGGAGGCTGGGGAAGAGGATGAGTCGACTGGTCCTTAGTCACTGGTCCATGACCGGCCTGGCCACCCCGTGACAGGATGTGTATCTGCCATTGTGGGTAAAGGGTCCTCTCTTGAAAAAGAGGAAAGACTGACTCCCCAGCAATCCTTGGGCTGCAGGACTCACGTCCTCCAGCATGGGGTGGGGGGTGAGAGGAGCCCCAAAGACCACACAGAAGCGGTTCTGGCAGGCTTGGGGCAATAGGCACTTGCCGAAAGCCACAGGGTGACAGCGCACAGGAAGAGCCAACCCAGTGAGCTATCGGTTGCTGAGAAGGGGGACATTCTCCACGAGAGATCTGGAAGCCATTAGGGCCTGGCAAAGAGGCTGGGCAGCAACTCAAATCCAAAACACACATGACTCATTGATGTGTGATAACCTGCTCTCAGAAATGCCACAGGATGCAGGCATCAGGCCCATTCCCACTGGGGCCCAGCCCTGGGTTCTGATGAGGTGGCCTGGCCCTGACTGTGGTCTGTCTGCGCACCTCCCCATCCCCATCGAGAACACTTAAGATGGGGTCCCAAGGCTGGGGCTGCCTGGGGTAGGCAGGATAGGCAGGACTGTCCTGTCCTACCCCACTCTGCACACCCCCGCCTGGACCCCAGCATTGACACACGCACCCTTGGCTTAACTGGCAGGACCCAGGAGCAAACGCTCCAGTGCTTGAATACAGTAAGACACAATACCCGCAGGCAGGTGGGGTAGAGTCTCCATGTGGGCAGGGAAAGAGGGACCCCCAAAATGGTGCACCTAGGGCCTGTGAGTAGCCAGTGAGGGAGATGGTGCAGACCAGCTCCTAGGTGTTCTTGCGTCTTATAGTAAAATTCTGTTAAAGGGCTAGCAGTGCAGGGTGGGTAAGGAAGGAGTCTGTACTCAGGCCATGGAGGGGAGTGAGGCCCGAGGGGGGAGGGCCAGGCTGGGCAATGCAGTGGCCCTCCCCGCAGGAGCCTATCCTGCTGCTGCCCACCGTGGAGGGCTGAGAGGTGATGTCACAAAGGGAGCCAGTGGGTTTCTTATGGGTCCTCAAGACTAAGATGATTGTCCTGCTCAGAGGCCAGAGCTTGATGGGGTGGATTGGAGGGAACTGGGCCAGCAGGAGTGGTGGGGGGCACAGCAGAGGACACACCCCAAGCCCCAGCTCTACCACGACCAGAGCACCTTTGTCCCAAAGCCACCAGGAACAGTTCCTGGGTTGGAAGGGGGATGAAGCTGCCCATGAGACTTGAGCCCAGGACCAGAGAGGGTCTGAATGTACCCAGGTTAGGGAGCATTGAGCAGAAACGCGGCCAAGGATAGCGTCGGCGCAGCCGCCCAACTGGGGGGACATGGCCTTTGTGGAACGCTGGGTTTGGGGCCTAGAGCAGGGGCTTCTCTGTCTGGA